ATTGTGTATGGAACTCTAGGTCACAGGGCAATGGAATATATATTACACTCGCTTAGTAGTTATATTTTCATGTTATTTTTTTCCCTTAACCTCAAATGATTTCTCTACAAATGTCGTGAAAGACGTGGATGAAAATAAGGTAAAGATTGTCAGACTGCAATAATTCTAATAATTATTTTTTTCTTTTTGTGTGTGGATATCTTGGTCTAATCTAAATAAAAAATCAAAACATACTGCTGAATTGTGGTTGAAAAAATAAACTAGCTTTGAATAAACTGTCCATGACTCACCAAGATTTGACTTTCCTTCGATCATCAGTTCCCCTGAATTGTTTATTTTCCGGAAAGTCATCACCAGGTGTCATCGGTGTCAGGTACGCCCGGAAATCCTGAGCTGTTAAATTATTTATATTACCTGTCTATTTATACTACGTGTACCTGTGTGCGCATGCTTGTACATACCTGTGAATGTGTATGTTTCTGTGTGTGTGTGTGTGTGTGTGTGTGTGTGTGTGTGTGTGTGTGTGTGTGTGTGTATGTGTGTGTGTGTCTGTGTGTGTGTGTATGTGTGTGTTTGTGTACCTGTACCTGTGTGCTCATACTTGTACATACCTGTGCATGTGTATGTTTCTGTTTCGGTGTGTGTATGTATGTGTGTGTGTGTGTGTGTGTGTGTGTGTGTGTGTGTGTGTGTGTGTGTGTGTGTGAATGTGTATTTGTGTGTGCGTGCGTGTGTGTGCCTGTATGCGTGTGTCACCGGCGGATGTACAGGGGGCAGCCAATTCACTAACTTCCTTAAACTGTAATTGTAAACCGCAAATCGCCACCATATCTTCGGGCTTCACAAATTACAGACAGATTAACAGAATTATGGCTCTAATTTATGTAATATATACAATCGTTCCATGATGTATATAACTTTTATATGTACATTTTATATTTATTTCTCCTTGTACTCTGTAAAAAATAACCCCCCCTTTGGTTTCCCCAATACAAATTTTGAATATCCACCAATGTGCGTGTTCATGTGTATGTGTATGCGCATGCTTAATTGCCTTTGTATGTATGCGTTTAAACATGTTTATCTGTGCATGTACAGTGTTTGCGCATTCATATTTGAGTGTAGGTAACATCAGAAATTTCAAAATATAATGCATCTTTTCAGTTTTGATTAAGTTATAATCTGACTTTACTTTCTAAATTTTCAGATTAACTAGAACGTTACTAGTATCTCATACTGGTTCCCGAAAATATCATAAAATCGTGAAGGGAAATTTATTCAAACATAGGTATAAACACTATATTTATCACCTGCTTATACACTACAGTCGAGGTTTACAACGATTAATCTATATAATTATTGAGTATTTGGGATATAGATATTCACCATGCAGTTCCTCTATCCATATCCCGATGAGAACATTTAAACGAAACTTTAATCCTAATCTAAAAGGAATAAAGAGACAATGTTCATTTTGATTTTTGACACTTTTTATTATCACTGACCATGCAGCGCACTGGAATAAATATTAAATCTAAAATAACAATAACTTAGCCATCTCCCGCCCCTACGCCTCTCCTCCCCCTCAGAACTGTTCAACAAGGAAGGCTGAGAAGGTAGTGTAGGCCTCGTCGTAAGGATGTTCATACACGGAGCCGTCCTGAAGCTCGAGGTGAACCTTCTCTCCGGCGTTGAGGACGAGCAGAGCCGAGTTGGAGCCCTGCTGGTAGTTCCCCTGGCTCCCGTAGGCGGTCACCTGATACTCGCCGTTCTTCATGAGGGCCAGGCTGTAACAGCGAGCAGAGTTAGGCCGGGTTCATTCATTTGTGAGATGTTCGGGTCTGTGTCTTTTAGTGTGCTTTTGGAGAGAGGGGGGAGCGAGGGAGGGAGCGAGAGAGCGAGAGAGAGAGAGAGAAAAGGATGAGAGACGAGAGGAGAGGAGAGAGAGAGAGAGAGAGAGAGAGAGAGACAGAGGGAGGGAGGGAGAGAGAGGAACGAGGAGAGAGAGGGATCAGAGGGGAGAGAGGAGACGGAGAGAGAAGAGAGAAAGAGAGAGAGAGGGGGGGGGATTAGTGTGTGAATGGATAAATGAGTGAATGAGTAAGCGATTGAGTGAGTGAGAGAGCGCGTGTGTATCTGCATTCCATTCCTATTAATACGTTCTTAAGCATAGTAACAATAATCTGCATACCAAACTGAAATGACTATTAGTGAAATTATTTTTTTATGGTTTATTGGACTTCCTTCAATAGGATTGCCCGGCATGGATTGACTAACAATGACTCGGTAAACGCGACTTACATTTACCACGCGGCCGTCACACATCGGCACGCAGGTCAAACCCCTGTTGACACACTTGACTTCCCGAGGAATCCGCAAGCGATAGGTTTTGCACTAGTTATTTAATTTCCAGGAATGCTAATGTGTTCAGAGATAACACTGGTAATTTACTGTTGAAGCTGTTATGATTACTATCGTTTGCTTCAATACTATAAACAAATAACGGTCGACACGTGATAGATACACCCATGCTATGCAGAACACTTACGTGAAATCATTCTTTTCTGGCGAGACGGCGTGGAAGGTGAAGAAGTAGACCCCTGTGCACGGGGCCTCGAAGTCACTGTCAGAGGACGACCACCCGCCCAGATTGGTCAAGACGTCCTGTGAAGATATTAAACCGTGATCTCGAGTCCTAAAATTAGCGAAATATACACTAAGAACTTGGTATGTTAACATTTAAAAGTCTTTTTTGAGGTGTGTATATATAAGCTATCACACTTTTGTGAAAACATTGTATCATAAGATGTAACCTAGACTTCGGCTGGAGTTCCACCTACCTGGAACCTGAGACGAGTAGGTGGCTGAGACCCGGAAAGGACCGCCTTCCGGACGCTGAACCCACCAGAACAACTGGCCCACGCAGCAAATAAAAGAAATTACACTTATTTGTATCATATGTATGGTGCGAAATATATAGATAAATAACTACATATTTAATGAATGTCCCTGATAACCACAATATAAAATATACCCTTGATATTAACATCAACACATACACCAGGTTATTTTCCATATGTTACTCAAATTGTATCAACAAAAATGTGGTTCCTCTGAGCTTACAATCTGGGCACCGAGGGCGCGGGCGGAGAAGCAGCAACGAGGGAGTGCGCGGCGCGGTCCCCCCGGCCGGCCGCCGCAGCCACCGCCGCTACCAAGACCGCCAACACATTCGCCAAGCGGGTCATCTAAGGAAGAACCGGGTAGTTTGGTTAGGTATTTGTGCTGGGCTTTCACTGGAGCCATATATAGGGCTACTTAGTACATGGAATTTCTCTTAGCACTGGTCATCTTGTCTGTTACTCATGTTCAGATATAGTAATTATGTTATTGCCGAAACATTATATCAGGATATCACGTGCACACTGAACACAATTCAGCGTCAGTTCACTTTTTTGACAAACAAAAGAACTCTTCGCTTTAAAGAATATGCAAATGCAAACTTGAAAAATTCGGGCATATAACTGTACTCACCCCGGGTTCCAAGGTGCCGTTACCTGGGTCAGCCGTGGAGTGAGGCAGCGAGAGGCCTCATCTGTATTTATATGAACCCTCGACCAACGCCTCACGTGACGTCACTAAGACATGGCTTCAAGGGGTCAGGGTCGTCTACAGGAGGTTAGGAGGTCACTGTTTATTGGAACACATAAATTTATTGTCACATAACGTTAATGTGTTGTTGTGATTCTAATTACACTTGTAGTTAGCATAAATTTGTTCAAACTCTTGTACCAGTAGACCGGGACATCCACTGTTTAGGATGACTATTAAATTTCACAGGTACGCTTGGTTACTGGACAACGGTTCGTCCACTGAGCTGTGGTGTGGATGACACCGTTCTACTTTCTGGAAACCTAGTATTTTTCAAGGCCACGGTTGTCTCAAAGTGATTAGATTTCTAGCAAATTATTCTCCGGAAATCATACATTGGATCGACTGGTTTCTAAGCGAGTATGTACAATTTGTTTCTTTCCAAATATTTTGATAATGAAAGTCATACACATCCAACTGGAATTCCTGAAGATCCACCTGCTAATACGCGAAATGCGACGTATTTGTTAACTTGAATGGCGCATTCCTTAGCACCATGTATTATTTTCAATTATTAATCATGAATAATAAATTCAAATAGTTTTGAGACATTTGTTACCACATGATACTATTTACAGTTTTGTTTTCATTATGTCGTCCACATACGCAGCCAATTAATTTCCATAAATGTTATATGCTGTCAACACGTGCTCATCCCCTTGCTATGCTCCATATGACCAATACATCGATATCAACATTTTTTTTTCTCTATACACACTCTCAAAAATATTCGGTCACTCTCCATCCCTTGTCCCAACTGCTTTGGGTCCCTAAGGCCTGCCCTATACTAGCGTCATTTTTAACCCTACTTTTCCACATGGCGCCTGTTCTTGGGCGCCCATTACCTCCAGCTATGTACCATATGTTCAGAAAACCCTTTAATCTTGCTAGGCGGTCGATGCCGTAGTTAATATACTTTTGGTGAGACATTATTTTTTTAAAGCGTAGGAAAGGTAACAAAAAAATATGTGTTCGATTGGTATGTTTATAGGCGCTGTAAAGTTTGATGAGCTGAACTTAACGGGCCTTTTAGACATGGTATAAATGCTGCCCATTGAACCAAAACACGTAAAGGTATACAAAGAGGAGGAAACTAATGAAAACGAAACACCATGTATATATTTGTTTGGATCTGTTGAAGACTACTTACGTATAGGTTCGACTTTTTCTGGGAAACTAGATCATATAAAACCTTTTATATCTGTATAATGTAACTTATGGATATATTTTTGCTTCAGTAAACGGTTACGGTTAAGCTACCAGGTTAATTGCTTCTTAAAACAATGAGGTGTAAAGATTCCCTTGCTCACTTATTCCCAATTCTTCATACGGCTTTCTCTTTCTTTCTC